CAAAGGGCTGCATACGCCGAATTACGTCTTGCTTGGCGGTCAAAGGCGTTTGACGTTCATTGGCGTGGTAAACAGCGGTTCTACTGCTAAACCACTACCGAAAAGACTACAAACGCTGCAACGGTTAAAATAGAAGCGTCCCGTCAGGTTTTAAATAATAACTTAATGTTTTGGCTATCGGTCCGGGTCCGTATAGGACAGCTTCTGGGTCCGGACCCGGCCCGCGGTCCGCTTGTTAGTGACCTCTGGTGTATATTAACCATGAAGGCAAATTACTATGCTGACCATTTAGCGATGTCCACAGAAGCCAGCAGTAAAGCCAATGTCAGCTCTTCACATTTTAATTATAGGTACTAGCAAAGTATGGCTATGTTCTATATAGTAATGCTACTCAGAATCAGTGCAGCTACAAGCTTCACCTTCCATGACAGCAGACCATTTGTTACACAATGTGACACACTAGATTTTAATGAGCTTGGGACTTATAGAAAATTTCATACTTCACTTTTCCCCATCAGCACTTCTGGTCTACACACAGGGTACGTGATGTAAAGTATTCTGCCAGACGGCATGTGTGTAGTCAGATTTTTATGTCCGGTGAAAATCATGCTTGCCAGTGTGCACCAACCGCACATGTGCAAGGAAATTTGCTGGTATTTCCAATAGGTGCCACTTTGACAGAGCATAGGTCAACAGAGAGTAGAAGTAATGCTGTAGGGGGTACAGAGGTATCTGTATTTCTAATATTTCATACTGTCCGGATATTATATCACGGTATATGGTATTTTCAAAAGCACCAATATTCCGACATTTTGAAATCGTGGCGATAAAATTTGTCATGCGGGGTGGAGGGGGCTCATTGTGTCAAAGATGTCAAAATACCACAGTGTGCCATATTACTAAGCTTAGACAGTATTAAAGTAACAACTGTTCATAAGTTTACCCATTTCACTACATTGCTTGTATTTGTTGCAATACATCTGCCCTCTCCTGGTCTGGTGGAATGTCACTGCTGTATGCATGAACTGACCATGACCTTCTGGGGCCAAGGACAAATGTAGTATCAATATAAGATACCACACACTCTACCATCCGCCGACCAAAAGCGCACATGGACTAGAGTATGAGCCAAGCTTTAAGAGACAGTCCCCCAAGACCACAGCTGAACTTGAATATGAACAAATGCCACCAGCTACATAGTGGCCGTTTCAACTGTCTCTAAGCCACAGCGAGACTTGATGGGCAGGGCCAGGTCATACCTGCTGCAATGTGTGCGCTGTGAGAAACAGGGATTCACAGCTGACCTAGATCAGTCCTGCAGTCCTCAGGCTGTAATGTTCAGGCTCCCCTTAAAGCAGGTCCTGCTGGCAGCACATTGCCTGTCACAGGAGAGGCTAAGCGTGGAGCTAGAAGAGGAAACAGAGGCAGTCAGCATGTGAGCACCTTATATACCGGCGAAGTCCATGGGGATCCCCAAACAGTCCACATTTCTGCTCCCTGCCAATCAGCAACAACGAATCCCTGGTATTGGTGTGCTTGGATGTGGATTGTTTGCCCCCCCCCCCCAGGACTTTGTTAGGAAACACTGCTCTAAACCATAACACTGGTGGGCACCTAGCTCTTCACAACCAGACCCTGGGGGGAAATAAAGTAATCAGAAGGTGGACCAAATATATAAAAGCAAATTTTGGACTCATAGCTACTTCAGTTTCCTAAATAATGTGCAGGCTGAATAATCAGCCCCTCCTTTTTACACATTAAGACCAATGGTGAGAAATGCCATGAAATGAAGCAGTGAAAAGAAAATTAGGAAAGAACACTTCCCCAGCAAAAAAAACATTTAACAAGTTTGAAAGCCATTTAATATTTAACCAAATTCTGCAATGAGTTCAGATTAGCGAAGATGTGTTGAATAGTACAAACTGCAGAAAGAGGGGATTCCTTTAACACAAAAAGCAAGGTAGTGTGGCTGGCCTGAAACTTACACCATCAACAGCAACTCACTTCAGCAGTGTTCAGTTTATTCCAGAAAGGTCAAATTACACACATCCAGCAAAATTAACATTAAAATTGGCAATGAAACTACCTCACACCCCACAAAAGGGTGCAACTGTTGCATTTGTTTTCCCACAAAGTGAGAACAATGCTCATCATGCCTTAAATGATTTTGTATGTGAGGCAAGTCACCTGGGAATACAACCACCATTATAAAATCATAAAAGTGCTTTCTTGCTGCACTACATGCTGATTGCACTGATAAAATGACCAGGTAACTAAAAATGATTTGTAGAGGATATCCAACTTCAACAACCTTGCTAGTGGCATGGTGATTTGGATCCTATCCCTGCATCTAGATGGGTTTATGTTCAGGAAGGCCACAATTTTTGTAAAAAAAGGCATGAAAATTATGTCATGTGTGGGACAAATGCTTATGTCATATTCACCGTTTCCCAAACATTTAAAATTGGTGCATTTCCTGTCATCAATGCGCAGCAGTTCGTAGGAAGCCAGTTAAAATGATTGAAATAGATCCAATCACCTACCCATTTCATGATTTCCAAGAACAAACCCACCACTGAAACCCATCTTTTACCTACAGCAGTAACTCAATTTACTTTTGCATTCATGGACATGATATTACATCTTAATCATATCTGCAAGGCTATCACAAGGAATAAATGTGTGCTTTACTACTGAGCTTTACAAAAACATAAAATGTTGTATGCATAATTAATTCTTATGTTGGAACTTACAATGGTGAAAGTACAATGTAAGACCACATCTGAGCTAGCCCATGTCCAAAACTTCTAAATAGAAATTACATTGGCCGAAGTATAACTATTTATCAGAATGAACCACCTTTAAAATCATATAACTCCCTGTCAAGCTATGTAACTAGATTTAGAGCAATGTTCATCTGAAATACAGGGTTTTTATTTTTGCAACCACTCAGACTGCTCACTTAGCTTACACCATTTCCTGTGGGGTTCCAGTTCATGATTAGCATTCTCCAAATACATGGTACAGAGTATAAGCCTTTTGGCTAATGCCAGATACAAAGTAGGATGAGTATCTATCAATAAACCTTAGAATAATGCAACTGAACTGGACACAGATCGTTAAACAAAAAGCTGACATGTAAATATTTTTAGTATTATTTTAGGACAGTGATGAACAGAGATTAATCTAAGAGCTCTTTGCAAACAGAGAAAATGCATTTCCCAATTAATCCATAACCTCAGATAAGCCAAAGATTAAAACATTCACTTACTAGATTAATCTGAAATGTCAAATTACCACCCCAAACCTTTAAAAGTGCTCCTTATTCCAAGATCAATTTGTCTTTTCCAATTTAATCAATTCCCACATATTAAAAGAGGATTAGGGTTGCAGATACAAGAATATTAGCATTTCTGAATTATTTTTGAACACTTTGGATATCCTATACCAAAAAAATCAGTAATAGAAACTACTAACACAAAAATGAAATGTTAATAGAACTTGTAACACTATGCAATCATTTCTTAAACCCCCGCAAACAGGTTGAGATGACACACTGAACAGGAGGGGGGGGGGGGGGAACAGGGTTTGCAGTAAGCGGCACCTTAATTCCCTCCACTACTACAGAGCAGGAGCAACCTCCTTCAGACACTGACTAATTGCTATATACCAAACTTAGGCATTCATGCATTATGAAAGAATGAGATGACAACAGAGAAGACCCTGATTTTGGCCTCATATCCCAGCACACAGTTCCATAAGCGTATTGTTGTTGAATGAATTCACAGACTACTAAACATATTACACCATAATAAATGGAAGTCTACAGCATTTTCCTTTTCTTGTTGTGAATGAGCAGAAAAAGTACTGGTCAATGTCACAAACTTGACAGGCTGTTCCACAAGCAAAGAACAAAAGCTTTATCAAAATAACGCTCAAGACCATTAAACCAAATACCTATGTATTTGAAGTGTAGACTATTTTTTTTAGCCACTGACATTAAAGAACTGGTTATCACCTTGTATTTAATGTGAACTAAGCAGAAAGTAAAACCCAGAATTAAAATTTCAGGTGGCCGAAATTTCAGGTGGGGGAAAAATCATTAAAGGAGTGCGTACAAACAGCTGCCAAGCTGGAAGAGGCCAGGCAGCCTGTTCATAACATATCACTGATCATTAAAATTTATACAACTTACACAATGCGCTCTGTGGCTAACGATGAAACATGGCACATCATGAATAACCTAGCAAATAGAACAGAGCTGATGTCCCCCATTATTAAATGTGGAAGCAACTACCTAAAGCAGTTCTACAGCAGACATGCACTGTAACCCTTCTGGAGTGAACCAATGGTTTGCTTCTACTATGAACAATTCAGGTAAAGTAACAGAATCTCGTACAACGCAACTGTAACAGGTCAAAAAAGATGAGGAAAAATGTCAAAAATGATCATGAGCCTGAACTGTCACCAAAGCTGACCCTCCAAATAAAGTGTTCAAGGTTTTTTCATAATAGAAGTTAAAGTGGATACTTTCATTATATAAACTACATTTCAGAAGGAAAGTGTGAACCTTTCAATAGGCTAATAGTTCACATGCATAAAAAACGATGGACAAAAAGCACGTGGTGTGTTAAAGTTTTCCACTATTCCCCGGATTCAGCATACTACATTACCACGGTAACACTTTACCTAGCAAAGTATAAATCCACTCAAGAATGGAGGCATGTGATACAAGCTTGTGATGCAGAGAACAGCGGCGCAGTTGCCATGACTGACCACTAGATGGCACATTGGCCATTACGGCTCTATTGTATTGACACTTGCCTCCATTTTAAGAGCTCGCAGCGCTGTTATCTGCGAACACAAAAATGCACTTTTTCGTCTACAGATCCAAGACTTGTGTAATACCTAACGAATTTCTAGGTCAACTGGTAAAACAAATTAATCCATTTATCAAAATGCAACTCCACCAGGTTCTGTATCAATCTATCGGACAACTTCAATATTGCAGAATTACAATAAAGGATTGGTAATTAATTACAAGATTTCCTACTGCTGCATTATTTACAACTTCACTAGCATAAAAAGTTGTATAAATGCATATAAAACTATGACTATTCGGCAAACAAAGATAAATCTCATGGGACTGCTCCCGGGAATATGGAATAGCCTTGAACTCCGAAGGGCAAGATTCCCTCGGTTAATGATCCCACTACACTGTCAATGATAATTTAAATTGTTTTTACTTCTGCCCTTGTTTACGCCGATACCTAAAAGAACTTCACACGAGATCAGACCTGGGCTTATATCATATCCACAAGCAGTGCAGAACTACACTGCAACATCGTACACAAAAAGCGAAACTGCAAAATGAACAGGTAAATCTAAGAAAATCGAAAAAGTTGCTCTGGCTAGTTCTATATTTTTCGCTTCGATAGCTCTAAAAACCCATACCGCAAGCAAGTAAACGGGGTAAATTTGGTAATTTCAAATTGCTTAATTCAACTATTTATACGACCAGTAGTACCTAGACCGACACACGGAAGCAAGTAAAATGCAAAGTTTTTTGTGCTAGACAGGAATTTTTTTTATATAACTGTCGCGAATATAACTTGAGCTACGGCAGCGTGTGCAGTCATTCTGACGGCGACCGCCGCGGTAACCTGTAATACTGGCGCTCCCACCGAGCCGTACATCCTAGAAAACACTATGAAATGCCAGCCGCCGCTACTTCAGGAATTCGCAGGACAGCTACATTAACGTGGAGAACGGCAATTCATTGTAATACTTGTTACTGAGTAACTTCGAGAACGTTTAAAAGGACAGCACCAGCTAGTTAGCCGAGTAGCACTGAAAAGACGAAAACACTGGTATCACGCGGGCGGCCCTCTCGCGCCAGTCTCGCCCCACTCCAAACCATTATGAGATATTACGACGTATTAACTGCATTAGCCGGTAGCTTGCCACACAAATCCTCACTTCACGCGTGTCGCGGGCTTCCTAATGAATTACCAGTTTTCAGAAGCAGATCTGGCAAAACGGTGCGAATCGGCGCCACTTGTAACATTAAAACTGCATGAAGCGCCCCTTGCTAACTACGGTTACTATAGTATAACATCTCCAACACAGGAAATTTTAGTTCAAAGAACGTTACAAATTAATGATGCGGCACAGATTCTAAAAATTCTTAAGTGAAACATCATATGGATGATTAGAAACAGTTAACGCCGTGAACATGTCGACAGAATGCCGTTTTATACGATTTTCAGTGTCTCACGCCGACGAAAGGCCCGGAGAGCTATCGTTAGACTAACTGGCCTTGTTTGGGATCAACCAGCTAAGGTCAGCAGACGAATGGCTTAAAACTGCACGCTAAACACGTAACCCGAAACAAACTGCCGTTCAAATATTAAACATTTCAAAAGCTGTCCCAGCTAGTGAGTTACCGGCTGACCGCGCGTACGGACGCGGTGCACATTTTAGATAATCGGTTTTTCCCTAGCTACGACACAAGCCGCCATACTCTCGAGTAACCACGCCACGCGCAGTAAATGAAGAATACGGATCAGCTCACTACAATAACCCGCGCTTTTTGCTAACTTTAGCAAGTCTGGCGTCTAGCACCTTCGTCCTTTAAGTCCAAGTGCAAATTGAAACGCAGCCGACTCACTTGATATGCTCGTTTTACAATCTAAGACGATCTCCATTCAGTCCTCCATTTTCCGCGACGGGAATGATGGCGAAAGCGCTGGGTGGCATGAGGAGACGTGAAATACTGTGGCGGGCTACAGCGCCACCCCCGACCGGAGGTGGGAACTGCAGCTGTGTTTTGTGTAGGTTTTAACTCACAGACGTGCAGATAACCTGGGGGGATATCAACTGGCTTGAGCGTGCTACCTCAAGTATTAAAGAAATAAAGTAGTAAAAAACATCAGCAAAGGACGATACCATTTCACAGTGTCTCACTTTACAAATAATACGTTTAGGAATGCTGGCCAAAACACGCAGTTTAGCCTGGAGTTTCTTATCTATTACATCGCATTTTGTGTTCATATTTTGGATATTGAATGTGTATTTTAATTTGCAGTTTAAAGCCACGTGCTAAATTTCCCCAGAATGCACAGTGAATTGGTCAACTGTACCAAAGACATTCTTTGCCGTGCTAATTTTGTTTCACGAAATGTATGGGTGCGTTGGACTTGGGCTTAGGTCTGTCTGCAGCTGACGTGACGCGGAGCGAGATCTGCCGGCGGCTGCAGGGGTGGAATATAAACTGACTGCGGCCAAGTCGGAAAACTTCTACTAGTCGTAGTGTGAGAGAACTGACTACAATGACAGCACTGCCAGAAGGGTGCAGATAAATCTATATAAATATCACCTGCATGCACATTACTTCTTTTATAATAACCATCATGCAAACTGTTAGCAGTAAAAAAAAAAAACTATTGTGTATAGTGGCCCTGTGTAAAAAGATAGCTGCCAGGGAAAAGATCAAATACATTTACTTCAAGGATTCAAAGTTTTTATTGTCATGTACAGAGTACAATGCAGTTCCTAATTGAATGCTTTCTTCACAGACTAGACGATTAAACAAAGCACCGGAACATTACAGTAGGGTGACCAGATAATCCATGTCAGGGAGGACACTTTGAGCTACTTTGGGTTTTACAAACTACTTTCAAATTGAAAGGCTCCTGTGCTCGGCTAAATAGTTCAGCTCTTCTTGTGCTTTGACTGGTTTGTTTCCTTGACTGAAAGACTCATCCA